CAACACCAGATTTACATACTCCTCCAAGAGCCTCCCAAGTCCAACATGGAAAGGAATTCCCCTTTGTGGGCAGTGTTTTCCTGAAGGACACCAGGAGCCAGAACAGTTCTAGATTTCTCCTTATAGATTTGCCTACCCCAGGACACAGGCAAAGTACCCCAAGCTTAGAAGGAAGTACACAGGTTGGATTAAATCTGAAGTGAACAAAAGCCTACAAAGCAGTCAGTGCAGATCCCTTTCACCAAATGGCCAACTGAGAGAATGAAGATGAGCCCAGGAAGGGACAAAGGAGGAAAAGTAAGTGAAAACAGATGTAAGTGGGGAACCCATGGTGTGACAGACCTGGAGTCCCACCAGTTTTCCTGAAATGGATCCCATTTGGAGGATTAAATACAATCCTCAGAACAGAGGTGCACACAGTGGATCAGCAGTGGGTCAGCAGAGGACACAGTGGGTCCATAGGATTGGAATACTCCCACTTTCTCTAGGTAGAAGCTAGCAGTGCCAGTTGTATGGAAATCTATCACCTCAGGCTGATGATCTGACCTTGAATCCTAATTCCCTGTCTTAGCCTTCTTACTCCAGCAAGTTACTCATCTCCTCTGCCATCACGCCCCAATCTTTGAAATAGGTGTCATAATTCAGTGAAGTGCTGAGACAGTGTCTGATGTACAATAACTATCCAAAACCTGTTTGCCATGATTCTTAGTAAACTTGTGTTGGCAGTTCCAACAATGTCATCCCTGCCCCTTTATGTCCATGTATTTTTTTTCCCTGCAGGTGTGTCAAATGTATGCTCCTCGTCTCTCCTCCATCAAAACCTGTTTTCAGGAAAGAAGTGAGCAGGTAAGTCATTGGACTGGATGTGAACTTGTCACGTGGCATTCACTTTCTAAAGCATTACCAGTAACTGTGAAATATGGGGCTTTTCCTCTGCCAAAAGACGCCAGAGAGGGTAAAGGCAATCATGTTAGGGAAGAGACATCGCTTCCCAGAGCATCTGAAAATATACCATGGGCAATGTTTTTGTTTGTTTGTTTTGTTGTGATATGTTTTTAAAGCAGCTTTTACTGGTACTGTGACCATGTCCCCTGTCCTTAAACAGCCCTGGGCAGAGCTGGGTCACCAGTCAGTCACTGCTGGTGCCTTGTTGCTGAGTCCACCAGGAGTCAGAGCACCATTCTCTCAATAGAATGACAGTAGTCAATGTATACTAACAGAGGACTAGTGGGGGAAGTTTCTTTTAACAAACTCTCTCTGACATTGCTTTTTATTCAATGGTTTAATAATTAATCAGGGAAAGGAAAGCTGCATTTAAAGGAAGTAGATGGAAAAAAAAATCAATGAATAAATGTCCGTCACAACTGGTGAGAATAAAACGGGCTTCAGCAGCAAGAGCCATGAGGAGTCCTGTGTGAGCTGTTCCCTTCTGTTCTCCCACATGTTCCCTATTTGTCATATAGATGAGAAAGTCCGAATCAATGAAATAAAAAAATCAAAAATCAAAATAACAAGACAGATGTGTTTCTGACAGGCAATGGTGAGCATCTTTGTCTTTTCAAAAATAAAATAACAATGCTATTTCCCAAGTTCTGTGATCCTCTACTCCTTAAACTATTAACATAAATGGAAAGCAGTAAAGCTAAAGAGACATATTCATTAGAGAAATATTTCCAGCTACTTCTGGGGAACACATTTAGGATGCATCTGACACCCCTTCCAAATATCGACTTCATGTTTCAGTGAATATCAGGATTTATTATCCCTTGAGGTAAATATTGACCTCCTCATTGCCACAGTCAATATTTACTGTGCTTCTCACTCCAATAAATCTTGCTGTCCACCCAAATGAGAATTCAGTGCCTGCTATAACTAAACCAGCTATAAGAAAAGAAAAAATTAGGAAGGCAAGAATACAGGGACTGAATAGTTCCACATAATGTTTTCTGGAAAGCAGGAGCTGGCTGACTGGCATAGAAACCCAGAGAAACCTCAGCAAGTATGGTTTGCATTAGGCATTCATTGTACCATCACCTCTTCAAGCTCTTGATTCTTCTACACTTAACCTGATTCCTTCCTTGATCACAGAGCCATCTCTGCTCCCTCTATTTCTCTCCATGCCCCTCATCAGGAATCATTCAAAATCTGCCAGCTTAGTATACTGGGAAGGACTTGATCTGCTTAATTACAGCTAATGACCTCTAATGACCAATCATGACTTAGTGAAACCCCTCATGACATTACTCTGCCAAAGGAATGTGTTTTTAACTCTGGAATTTGTAGATGAGGACATATCAACATGGCAATGTTTTAAGAAGAATGCATGTTATTTACTCTATTCTAAGAGTTGAGTTTCAAAACAACCCAAATGCCCAAAAATAGATGACTGGATCAAGAAGATGTGGTAGATATACACCATGGAATATTACTCAGCATTCAAAAAAGATAAACTCATGCAATTTGCAGCAACATGGATGGCGCTGGAAGGGATCATGCTCAGCGAAATAAGCCAGAAAGAAAAAGAAAAATACCGGATGGTCTCACTCATAGCAGGAATCTAGAAAACTTAAATAAGGGACCAGGAAAATGAATAACTATAAGAAAGTGAAAATCAAAATCAACAAAAAACTATGAACCAGAGACACTCTATGGGGGTGGGGGGCAGGGAGGGAGTGGGGTCAAAATAAGGGGATTGCAATTGTATGGGGAATATAAAAATAAAATTTATTTAAAAAAAAAGTGTTGAGTTTCAGAGAGTACCAGCTATTTCTTCAAACTTTAGCTCATCCTCTATGTTCTGAGTGAGGGAATTGCTGCATTCCTGAATAAATTCCTAAGATTCTACATGCATCTTCTCTTAGGATGCTCCTACGATCTCGCCTTCTCTTCAGCTGGTCCTTGCCTCCCATGCTCAGAGTTAGTGGGTACAGAAGAATTGGGCAAAGTAAGGCAAAGGGTAATTACAAGCAGTCTAGAGAACAACAGCTGGAACATGAAACATGCCACAGACTTTTAAAATGCTCATGGAATGAATAAAATACACACACATATGTGGGCTTAGGGACTATTTGCTCTTTTCCAGATGGAGCCTAGTGTGATGCTGGTGTAGTGGTTTTCTAAGGACCCCACTAGGAGATAGTACACAATGTTCCCAGCCAATAGTTGATAGTATTCCAATCCTGACTATGAGCATTAATCTAATGTCCTAAATGTTTTGCTTGGAAGTTTTTCCAAAATCAGATTCATTTCAAGTTAGGTTTTCAAGCTACATATTTACATTTGTCAAAAAAAAAATACCTTGTTATGTTTTGTTATATTGATTGCTCCCTCCCAAACATTATGGAAATTTTCCAGAGTTCACTGTTTTTTGCTAAATCATGGATTGCTGGGGAGAAAACACTAGAGATTAGCCATTCAATTTGGTCTTCTACCAGATGAAATTGAAGACTCTAAAGCCGATAAGAATGAATACATTTTATACTGACACCTTCAGCTGGATAGAAAAAGGCCAAGTCATAAAATGCAAGATTTTCAGCAGACTGCCTCCAAGAACAACATTCTAAAATGTCTAAGACTGGTGAGAACAGGTAAAAGACAATCAAGTTTTAAATTTTGTGTTTGACGTTTTCCACTGACTGAATGCCCACTAAATTTTCCCTCTTCTCTTTGCACATGTCCCTCCATCCTTAATAAAAACTATTCACTTTTTAAAAAAGAGGGTCCAAGTAAGTGATTTAGACGTCCAATAGTATTGATCTATGGTGCACTCATCTCATGGTGCCTTAAAAGGAAATGTGTACTTGATTATAAATCTGTCTTGGATGGTGAGTCCCTGGAAGGAGGGAAACACATCTGCTTTTGCTTTTGCCCAGTTTCCAGCACCTCTGCATGATGCTGAAAGCTTGCATCTTTTAAAAGTGTATTTAAAAATACGGTTCATTACCTGTGAGAGAGTGTGTAAAGGAAATCAGTAACTGAGTTTTGGAATCCTATTGTACAATCCCTCAAACAATCCCAGCAGCTGCCAATAAGAACTGCATACTTGTGTTTGTCACAAAAGACAAGATGCAGCAAATGTCTGTTGTTTCCCGCATCACCTACCGTAATTTAAGAAGCAGCTAGAAAATAGATTTTTTTCAACCTACAAAGTTACTAAGAAATACAAAGACATTGGCAAAATAGAGTAGCCGGCTGGCTTTCTTTGAAAACCTGACAAAATGCATTTATCTGACTCATCTTGATGTCTTCAACACACTCTCAGGTTGATAAACAAACAAGAGAGAACATCAATTCATCCTTTTATTTTCAACTGTGCTTTCTGGGTAAATGACTATCCATTGCGTAAAGCTGAGAAGTGGCTCTTTGATTGTGTTCACATTTGATTAAGAAACTGTGCTTGGCAGACCAAAATACACCAAACTGTTAATTGCTTTTTAAAGGAGAATTATGACACTTTTAACAAGCCACATATCTTACTAAGCATTGTTAGGGTAGATGCTCTCATTCTGCTGAACTGTCTTATTTTGAGATTTGGGTCCCTAATTGCTTATAAACCATACTGTTTATTGAGTATTAACTCTGGCATGGTTGTTTATTATGGGAGCTTACTGCTTAATGCCTATAAAAAGCAGCATAAATGAGCTACTTTGTGGCTGTGGTGTTTCCCCTCCCCAAAACATACACACATACACACACACACAAGTATGCATGTGCACGCATGTACACACACACATACACACACTCACTCACGAGCTTACAGAGTCACACTTAAGTTCATCAGCTGAAAAAAAGCAGAAGTATTGGCAGAATTATGCAGAGGTAAAGCCTAAGTAGCACGTTGCTTGGTAACCAGAAAGCCCTCTGTTGATTCACCAGGGTGTCGACCATACATTTTCCTCTGTACATTACCTACAATGAAAAGGTCGGTGACCCAATGAAATATCAGATTAAGTCAAACTATTAACTGGACAAATGCATTTAAAGTGCTCTTGTACCCTGGTTCCGTGTGATTAGTATACATTATGTTCTGCCAAGGCAAGCATGAATCATTAATATATTCAGAGTCCTCCGCTCTCTGCAATGAAACATAATAACTCAGCGCTGAGTAATGCAGTGTGCTGTGTTTATAAGACGTGAAGCCTTCAGTTAGGGTGATCTACAATGTTGTTATTTTGTGGTAAGGACACAGCTCTTTTTTTCTTTAGTAAATAGTATTTGTCATTCCCTTAAAAAGACAGAAAACATCTTTCCCTGAAAAAACTGGTCACTGCATCACTGTGTCTGTCTGGGGGAGGGGCGGGTAAATTGACCCATAAATAGATGCGTTGTTTTTCCCACTCTCTGAAGTACTTTTCTCTCCTCCTACCATTTAAGGTCACTCCTAATAGGCCCATGCCTGGAAAAATCTGAATATTTAAAATGAAATGAAGGTCAACAATCTCAAGGCAAAACTCCAGTAATTTAATATGAACTCTAACCTCTTCTTGTTCTCTCTTTTCTGTGGCTGAGTTGCAGCAGCCAGTTGGATTCAGTTGGAGAATGCCGAGCTGGGAAAGTGTCCAGCTCTGTTTTCTCTCCAGTAGCCAGAACCAGAAATCTAGGATTCTGTGAGCGCACTTATAATTCAACTTCTTTTGTAGGATGTCAAATTTGTTAATCTCAGAGGGACAAAGAGATTGTGGTCAGACTGGGGTTTTGTTACTAGCTCTGCCCCTAATTATCCTATTTAATCCAAATAGAGACATTTTTTGGTGGTAAGGCGACACCAATGGGGAGAGGAAGGTCAGAATCCCCATCCCCCTATGACTTTCCCTGCAATTTACTCCCACCGCCATGGGGAGCAGCCTCTTCTCCCACTCACCATTATTGGCTAAACTGAAACACAATTGAGTGAAGTCAGCTACATAGGTAGGTGAGAACACCTACTGTCCCCGGCATAGTGCCGGGATACAAACGACCCACCGACACTGGCTCAGTGAGGAGGAGTCACTCGAGGACTGTTTCAGCAGCAATCAGGATGAGACATTGTTAATATCAGTTTCTGAAGAGAGAATTCCACCTGTACTCCTAAAAAAATGCTTTATTTATTTTCCTATGGAGGTGAGGGAAGTAAAATCCCCCAGTTGATGGAACCAGATAACTCAGAGAAAAACACAGGCTAATCCAATGAAATGTTGATTGTGCTCTATAACTTAAGAGATCCGTTGCCCCTTTTCATTGTTTTAACTTCTCTCTTTGCCTTTCTTTTGCTGTTTATCTCTATTCTCTTTCATAGCATCCACAGTATGGGGGACCTAGGAGATGTCTTAGATTGTTCCCAGGACTAGAGTTGCCATCACACATGAGAGCTCATGGAACTCAAGTCTCTTCTCATTTTCTGTGGGTCAGCAGCTACCATTCTGAAGAGCCATTAAAGAAATATAAGAGGGGCCTCCCCAGTGGCACAGCGGTTTGAGGGTTGAGCGCAGTGCTGTGAAGCTGTCTGCAGCCTCTGCAGTGTGGGTTCGATTCCCGGCCAGCCAGGGAGAGAGACCCACATGGCATGGCAGACCTCTCCCGTTGGACCTGCTGCTCCCCTCAGCAGTGCTTTTGGTCAGTCTGCCTGTTCTGTTCCCCACTCTGTCTCTGGTGAATTTTCTCAACCTCCCGCGCCTCTGGCCTGTGCGCCTCTGGCCTGTACCCCAATTCTTATGAAAATAATTAAATCTTTAAAAAACAAAAAAAAGAAAGTTAATAAGGACTGCTTCATAAAAAAAATATGTAAGAGCCCAAATCTCCTAATTCCCAAATCCTGACTGTGTAACTCTAATAATCCTGTGTTAGCTGAGTAGGAATTCTAAAAATCTTCATTGCTTATTTTCATGAAAGCTGCCTATTTCTCAGACCATGGAAGCCATAGGGATTCACTTCACAGGCAGATTGAAATTTTTAATCATCTGATTATGCTTTGACGTTTATGTAATTCACCTTTCCTTTCAAAATTTCCCCAAATTTTGTGTTCATCTGAATAAATAAGCAGCAACTGCACTGTTACAGGTAAAATTGTGTTGTCTCCCTTTCCCTCCCCACCAAATACATATGTCAAAGTCGTAACCCCCAGTACCTCACAAGGTGATTGTATTTGGAGAAAGGGTCTTAAAATAGGTGAGTTAAAAATAAGGAAAAATGGGTGAACTCTAATCCATGATGACTAGGGTCCTTATAAAAAGAGATTAGAAGAAAGACACGTAAAGGGATAACCCTGTGAAAAGTCATTTACATGCTGTCAAGAGAGGCTTCCAAAGAAACCAACCTTGTCGACATCTTGATCTTGGGCTTGCAACCTCCAGAATTGTAAGACAATGAATGAATGGCTGTTGTTCAAGTCACCCACTCTCAGGTATTTTGTTGTGGCATCCCTGGCAAAGTGGTTCATGTGTAGAGCAATATTAGATCACAGAGAAAGAAAACTCAAAATATTAAATCGGATAGTAGCCAAAATCTCACTGGGCTTCTGGATAAAAGTTACCTGTGGCTAAATATCTATGTATATATGACTGTGTAGATTCCTGTGCATAATAAGCTAACAGTTTTTAGTTTCCATCTTGGCTCCAAAGCAGTGTAAGTTAGGAATCCTACCTTGCCATTTTGTCTAATTTCCCCTATGTTAACATCAAGGGCACCCATTTGGAAGAGAATGCTGGCTTACCAATTCAGTGCATATACAAATGAACATAGGATTCATTCTGAACATAAAAGGAAATTGAGAGTGCCAAAGAGAGGGATTTGGACTGGGAATGGGAGAGGGAACTAGCATTAATCTAGCTAGGAGACCTATACAATGATAGGAAAATGTAATCTCCAGCAAGTCCTTCATTCCATCATGTCTCTGTATAATAGGGACCATAATAACTCCCTGCTTATATTAACACTCAGAAGAGAGGTCATAAAACAATACAGCCTATTTATTAAGGCAAAAGATAGAATGGAGGCTGATGAATGTACCAGGGAAGAACCATTAGCAAAATGATGAATTAAAGCTCTGTTTGCATTTCTATTGTGATGGATCATCACTTGTTAGCTTAAGTAATCCCCATGCTTTGATTATAGCTATCAGCATATAAAAATATTGTCTGAGCCTCAAAGGTGTAATGTCCAAATGTGCTTATGGAAACTCAAGTACATTATCATTCACTGAAGTGCTGAGGACTCCAAAAGAATGATGAAGATGTTAAAATAATTAGTGTTGTGAAAAAAGGTGAAAATAGGTCCCTAGTTTATGAATAGGTCACTTTGTACTCTCTCCTGTGCTTCTGTCCTTCAGATTCATAAAATAAAATAGTACCCTCTGGTGAGCTTCCCTCCAGCAAGTCTAGAAGTCCAAAAAGGACAGGGAGTTGAGTTCAATCAAGTGATGAAGATGACGATGATGTTATGATGATGACAACCCCAGCAGGCCGGCACATAATGGAAAGTGTGCCCTTTTATGTTTTCCTGGACACTAAGGTATATAGTTGAGAACTCAATCAATACAAGAGGATGACTGGGAACAAGAAATGACCCTTTGTGGCCAGTTCTGTTTCCAAAGAAGACATCCTCCTCCCTAAAGTAAAAAACAAGGGACCCTAAAAGAATCCATTGTAATGGGTGGTCTATATAAAAAAGAACATTGGTGTTTCATGATCTTGTTGACTACCTAGCTGCAGCCTTGTTGCCTAGAACTATGGTTTAGGGTGTCCTCAGGAGGGAGTGGTGATATGGGGCAGTTGTGGGGCCAAGTGAACAGAGGGGAGGGGCTCCATTTTGAGGCCCCCACTCATAGAAAGCAGAAAAAAAGGTCCCCAAATATATCCATGTCCAATCCCAGAACCTGTGAATTGTTACTTACATATTTGTCTTTTACAAAAGAAAAGGGCCACTGTGGATGTGATGGAGTTAAGGATTTTGCTATAAATGAGGGAAGATTATCCTGGTTTATCCCACATGGACCAAAACAATCAAAAAAGTCCAACAAAAGAGAAGCAGGAGGGTCAGAGTCAGAGATAGTTTGTGAAGACTGAATCACAGGTTGGAATGATGTGGCCATGCGCTGATGGATGCAAGTGGTTTTGTTAGGGGGAAAGGATGTCCTGAGATAATTCCATACAGGCTTTGTGGATTCCACCCCCACTCCAGACCAAAGCCATCAGGACATTGGGAATGACAGATTCCATCATCACCAAAGGGAGATTTGCTGGGACCTGTGGGTGGAGTTAAGCTGCCAGGTTTGGTATAAAACCAGACACGTGGGCCTTGGGGCTCTCTCTTGGCAGCACAGCTCTTGGCTCTTTGCCAGTTCTCAGTGTGCTATTGGGATTCCAGGTCTGCGGAATGGGTTAGAAGCATTCATGAGTTTATCTCCCTCTTTTTCATGAGTTATTCATTTCTCCATTTTCCCTTTCTTTTGTAAATAAACCTTTTTATTAACCTTTTATGTGTGCCTGCAGTTGAGTACTAATAAGCGCGCAGGTGAGGACCCACAGTCAGGCAACCCGTTTTATATCAGGGTTGCCCTGTAACAGTTTTAGAAGCTTAAAAAAAAAAAAAAAAAAAAAGGCAAGGAATGGATTCTCTTCAAGAACCCCCAAAAGAAAAGCCACCTTGCTGACATTCGATTTTAGCTAGTCAAGTTGATTGGCCAGGAGTCTGGACATTAAACTTTATTTCTGGGTGTGTCTGTGAAGAGGTTTCCAGGTGGGATTACCATTTGAATTGAAGGAGTCAGTAAATATCACCCCCCCCCCAGGTGGGTGGGCCTCATCCCATCCCTGGAGGGCCTGAAAAGAATAAAAAGGAAGGGAGAGGAATTTGTTCTTTTTTTTCCCTACTTCTGTTTGAGCAGAAACATCTCTTTCCAGGTTGGGTCTTAGATCATCAGCTCCCCTACAGACAGACCATGCAATTTCTATGCCTCCATAACCTGGTGTAGCCAATTCCTCATCTGTTTAACAACCCTGATAGATGACATGAGCCTGCATCCTTGAAGACACCAGTGAGCCACCAGGGCAACCTGAGCACAATAGGCCTGCACTTCAGATCATCTTAAAAAACAGTATCATCAGCAACATGGCGGCGAGGAGACGCTGCGAGTAAGATCTCCCATTAAAAAAAGTGAATAGGGAGGAAAAGCGGCAGGTCCCAGTGAGAACCGGGACACGGAAGATAAACGGGTGACGCCAGCAAACTGCCCGAAGAAGAAAGTGGCCATAAAAGGGGACTAGAAGGGAGGGAAGCGCAGAACCCTGCTCCCCTCCCCCGCCCACAGAGGCGGCACTCTCCGATCGGCAGAGAGGAGGAAAACAACAAACTAAAATGACCCACAAGAACAAACGACGCAGCAAGCGGGAATGCGAGTGGAAAGGAACTATTTCAGCCACCACACCCCGTGAACGGGAGCTGTGGAGAACCCTGCAGGATCCGCCGCGGACGGGCGCCATTAAAGAGAGACCCCGCCCCCCAGGAGGAGGCCAGCACCAGCACACAGCCCCGGCCGCCCGGTAAGCCTGCGAGGAAAGCGGCGCGCTGGAAAAGCAGGCGCGGACCAAGATCAGGACTGCGCGGAAAAGCGGCGCGCTGGAAAACCAAGTGCGGATCGGAATCGGGATCGCGGGCGGAAAAGCAGTGCAGCTGAAAAGCAAACGCGGATCCAGATCGCAGCTGCCCAGGTCCCTGCGCCTGCGACCTAGGCTTGCGGGGAGACGCGCGGAGGCCCTCACTGAGTGAGCAGGAACCAGGTGCCCAGGCACGGGAGCGGGATTCAAAAGGCGCCATTCCCGCGCCACTGAACTGGGCTACAGCCTGAGTCCTGGAACTGAGGGCTTTGGAACTGACACCCGGGACACGAAATTAGGGGCGTGGGTTCCCCACGACGGTGGGGCACAAGGCAGACACAGCACCCCAAAGCCGTTGAGGTTTACCCTTCCATTCCCGCTCTATTCCCTGTCCCACGGGGTGGAAAATCAGCTCCCCAAGGGCTCCAGGAGAGATCTCTGGCGCCACCTTGCGACTTGAAGCCAGCAGAGGCGCCTAGAGGAGCCAGTGGCCAGCTGGGGAGTTAGCCCACGCCGGGCCCCTTCCGACCAGTAGTCTGAGCCCACAGGGGGAGCGAGCACCCACAGCCGGGGCAGACCAGGTGCGCAGAACAGTGTGCCTGAGACCAGACGTGCAGGGAGTGTGTCCCACATCACCATCTTAGAACAGGGACATTTCTTCAGTAAAGACTACCTGCAGAAGGCTTCCTCAGGAGCCAGAGGTGAGCAGGGGAAGTTTGCCCACGCCAGACCCCATCTGGCCTGCAGTCCAACCCCAGAGGGGGAGCAGGAACCCACCGCTGGGGCAGACCAGGGGAGTGTGTCCCCACATCAGCATTTTAGAACAGGGACCTTTCTCCAGTAAAGACTGCTTGAAACTGACAGATGACTCCTGGAGGAACTAGAGGAGAGCAGAGAAGCTCACCCAAGATGCCGGCCAGTCCCAACTACACAGTGTCCCAACGCATACGGCAAATTAGAAAACAGACAGTAGGGAGGAGAAGAACCACACGCAACCTAGCAACTCCCCAGGGAAAAAGCACACCACAAAAAGAAAAGCAGCCCCCAGATTGCAACGACAGTAACTTGGAAGAACTTCTGAGCCTTCCAGAAAGAGAATTTAAAATTGCCGTGATTAAAAAACTGACAGAAGTCATAAAGGAAAACAATGATAAGGGAAAAATAATCAACATGAGAAGAATGCAATTGAGTCCCTAGAGAGGGAAAACAATGGTCAGAAGAATGAAATTGAGTCCCTAAAGAGGGAAGTAAAAGAAATGCAGGAGATCAAAGAATTAATGGAAGAACTAAAGAATTCTGGGAAAAGCAATAAAAGCAGAATAGATGAAATGGAAGAACGAAAAAGTAATCTTGAAGACACAGAAATAAAAAGAACCAAAACAGAAAAGGAAAGAGAAGTACAAAGGAAAAAGAACGAAGAAAGACTTCGGGAACTATCTGACTCCATGAGGAAAGGAAATATAAGAGTTATAGGAATACCAGAAGGAGAGGAGAGAGATGTAGGAACAGAGAAAATATTCAAAGAGATAATTGAAGAGAACTTCCCAAATGTGAAGAAGGAGCTGAAAATTGATATACAAGAAGCAAGAAGAACACCAAACTTCCACGACGAAAGGAAAAATACAGCAAGACACATAATAGTAAAGCTCCCAAGAATCCAGGACAAGGAAAAAATAATGAAGCTGGCAAGAGGGAAGAAACAGATAACATTCAAAGGAAAGCCAATCAGGCTGACATCAGACTTCTCCGAAGAAACACTACGGGCAAGGAGAGAGTGGAGGGACATAGTCAACAGACTCCAAGAAAACAGATGCCAACCGAGAATTCTCTATCCCGCAAAGCTCTCCTTCCTCTTTGAAGAAAGAATATGGACCTTCCCAGACAAACAGAAACTCCGGAATTTCATTACAACTAAACCCCCACTCCAAAAAATACTACAAGGAGTCCTAAAGCCAGAACCTCAGAGGGACGAATAACAATGAAAGAAGGCCAAAAAACAATGGCATATACAGATGCTAACATATCAATATTAACTCTAAATGTAAATGGACTAAACTCTTCAATAAAAAGACACAGAGTTGCAGCCTGGATTAAGAAACAAAACCCAACCTTTTGCTGTCTCCAGGAAACACATTTAGCTACAAAAGATAAAAATAGGCTCAAAGTTAAAGGATGGAAAACAATCCTACAAGCAAATGGACCAAAAAAGAAAGCAGGAACAGCTATACTTATATCAGATAAAACAGATTTCAAACTCAAAAAGATAAAAAGAGACCCCAATGGTCACTACATTATGATCAAGGGGACAATACTTCAAGAAGAAATAACACTCATTAACATATACTCACCAAACGAAGGAGCACCAAAATATATCAGACAACTGTTATCCTCTCTGAAAACAGACATCAGAGAAAACACATACGTAGTGGGAGACTTCAACACACCACTATCAACAATGGATAGATCAACAAGACAAAAATTAAGTAAAGAAACCAAAGCTCTAAATAAGGACCTAGAGCAATTGGGCTTAACAGACATCTATAGAACACTAAACCCCAAAAAAACGGAGTACACATTTTTCTCAAGCGCACATGGATCATTCTCCAGGATCAATCACATACTGGGGCACAAGACAAACATCAACAGATACACCAAGATTGAAATCATATCAACCATCTTTTCTGACCATGAAGGCATCAAACTAGAAATAAACCATTAAAAGAAGGCAAGGAACTTTCCTACCTCATGGAGATTAAAAACCACACTACTGGAAGACCACTGGACTAATGAGGAGATCAAAGAAGAAATTAAAAAATTCTTTGAATTGAACGACAAGGAGGACACCAATTTCCTAAATGTATGGGATGCAGCAAAAGCAGTAATAAGAGGAAAATATATAGCAATAGAAGCTCACAT